TGTGATCAGTCAATGGCGACTGGAAAACTGACGTCTTTCACGGCATCCGTCTGACCCCCCACTTCACTTAATATTCCCCCCACTTTCATTTCAGACAAGCGTCTTCTTCTTTACTGCTACACTGCGGCAGCGGGTAAGGAAGGCGTCATATTAAAGAAAATGAAGATAACTGTTTTATACTTATCGCTTTCATTCCATTTATGGTTTTATTACCAACCCGGAGGGGGCGTCTTTCGCCCAATCTCGTCATCCGAAAACGCTCCCCCGCCTGTCCGCCTTCTATTGGTTGATGTTGTCTTCGTCCAGAATTGTAACTCCTTTTCACGAGCACATACATCAATCAGCTCTAAATGAGACAGAAAACAGAGAGAGAAAGAGAAAGCATCGTCAACTCTGCAGTGTTCGTACCATCCCCTTTGTTTTTTCTTTTAAAACCACCAGTTTTCTGGTCTACATATCTTTGAAAGAGTCCCACTATTCCTTTGAAGTCTACCCTGTTGCGTTATTTGCTCATGTCTCCACTGGGAGTGCGCTTTAACGCAGAGCCACCGGGACCTCGATTTCGTTTGTTTGCTTTTTATCGCCGTTACGTCGAGCTGACGTCATACGCTGCATTCCACGGGTAATTTAGACGGCTTTCGAAGTATCTTATGAACTTAATGCTAGCCTTCGAGACTTGGGACTTTAATCTCGCTCTTCCGTCCATTGCTATGACCGTGACCTGATTAGTCTCAAGGATATCGCGTAAATTGTATCTCACTCGCGCGGTCCACCATCGTGTCTTGCGACAAATAGAACCTTCTCAGTTTGGGAGTTAGCCAAACTGCTGCTTCTAGAGGACGGCGGTATCCAACAGCAGCACCATTTTTGCGCGCACCATTTGTGTCAGATTGTCAAGGCAGACGTGTTCAGTGAGTGTGATCCATTTTAAAAGTCCCTTATGGCCGCCTCCCCGTAGTTGCGTTGAGTGAAGTTTGTTCAAGATTTCCGATTGTTTTACACCCCCCCCCTCCCCAACGTTCTTTGGGGTCCTAAGGCGAACGCCATTAGAGCTAGGAACGCCATGAGACTCGTCAGCTGGTCTGGTCGTTTCATCGGAGGTCCGTAGCACAACATCTCAAAGAAATCCATTTGGGTACTAGGTCTTAGCTCAAGTCTTTTGCCGGTGAGGCATCAGAGATGGTCGTCCCTTGTGTCAATTTGGTGGAGCGGAAGGAGACGGGCGAATACGCAAGTCCGCGACAATCGTAGTTTCTGTGATGCGGTAGCCGTATTTCCTGCTGGCTTGTGTCTCCTCGACAATGCCGTATCTGGCTTACCGCACAAAATGTTTTTTTTTTCTATGGAAATGGATTACCTATGTGAAGATGTAGTCTTGCTTGTCATACAACGTAGTCCTCAAGCTGCTTCAGTTACACCACGATGCTTAGAATGTGTATTTACGTGTGAGCAAAAATCAATGGTTAGAACAGTGGACTTGTGTTCAACAGGCTGTCGGTTCCAGCCTTGGGTGGTGCATCACCTGGGGTTGAGCATGGCCGGCTGATGACAGCTGATAAGGCAGAGGTGGCCATTCCGGTCACTCTTGTACTTGTCGGCAATGTTTATCTACTTATACTGCTAGCGGCTGCCGGTTGGACTCAAGAGAAATCCCCAAGGCAGGACGGGACAAGTGAGTTCTGTTAACGATCAGTGGACGTTAATCAACGAATATAAATCCTGTGGTTTGAAAACTCGGGAAGGATGACCTACACTGTCCCCTAAACAGAACATGAGAACAGGGACCACCCCCAAATACAGATAGCTTTGAGGTCGGTGCTAGGACACAGAAATATTTGCCTTTCCTGGGATTATGCGTGGGGCTGCCTTGGTTACTTGGGCGGGGCGTTTCCATTTCCGTGTCCTGTTTAGGTGGTCATGTAAGTTATCCGTACCGAAACCTGGAAACTGCAGGTACAGCCGCGGTTCGGATCCAAAATTAGTCGAGAATTAAAAGTTCTGGGTGGGTTGAGTATTCCATGATATAGACGAGATACTGTTTGAAGTGGGCATAGCCGTAGTTAAATCTTCAGGATATCGTGGTCGGAGACCTGCTTGCTAATGATAGCACCAAATATTACGCTGAAGTCTGCTACTGACACTAGTACTTGATTCGTCGACCTCACAGTCGCTGCGTAGATCGCGAGTGATCATGGACGTGCGAGGGTATATTACGGGTGAACTTTTCGGTCCTGTTGATGGTGCCTAATCTGTGATTTTTAATTTCAAAAGAAAGTAATATGCGGACTTGTATTAAACGCTCCGGAGCAAACCATTTCAGTCTCGCAGTCCGAAAACGAATATTAATATTTGGTCCTAATCTGTAGGACGGATGCGCGCTGAGATGAGTCCTACTGGATAACGATCAAAACTCCGTCACTTTGGCTTGTGGCAACTTTATAGGCTACGGACTTGTCGGATTGCTGTCCAGAGACGCCTGTGGGTACTAATACTACTACTTTATGATAAGTAACGGCCTTTTCGTCAATCTCAGAATGTCCGAAATGTCTCAACATGTCCGGAATCCGCATGCCTGTTTGTAGAATCCTTCAGGTAGACTTGCTCCATATATGTGCCATATTCTCGTGTTCTAAACCGAACACTACCTCAAACCTTAATTTCCCTCGAATCGGACGCAACGCCACTTGTATTACGGGTGCTTCCTATTACCATCTTCTGTACCTTTTTGCCAGGGCTGGCGCAGGTGGCGGACGTGGCCGGAGCCTATCATCACACCCGATCAGATCTCCCGAGCTGGGAGTGCTATAAAGGCCACATTAAGAAGGAGCCGTTGCAGTTGGACTCTCAGTCAACCACACCAGCCAAGCACACACTGGGCTGACCGTGCGGGTGCCCGCCACCCCACATCAGTCGTGCCATCACAATACCGAAGACGATCCGTATAGTGGAACACGCCACTCATTGCAGAATTTAAAGTTCTGGATAAGGATGTGGGTTAACCATCAGGGGTATCGCAGGGGGTTAAGTAAGT